CCCCCTCCCACCGGCCCTGGGCTTGCAGGCTGCCCTCCTTCTGCTGCACAAGCCCACGGGGAGCTATTTAAAACCCACTTTGTGCTCCCGCGGGCACCCACGCAGCAAGGCCCACCCGGGCAGCAGCCTTCGCCTGATTCCACCACCAGCAATCACTCCCGCCAGCCTGCAGGCTGCTATTTCTGCCGAGTATTTACAGGGCAGGAAAGAGAGACGGGAAAAACTGCTTTTTAAACACAGTTCTATTCTGGTGGTGATGACAGGGGCGGATTGAAGGCCAGGGGCGGAGCACCGCTTGCAGCTGAGCGGAGGGAGCAGAGCTGGCCTGGGAAGGGGACCTCAGTGTTTCCTGCAACAGGGCGACTGGGCCGGGGCTGGGGCAGGGAGGCGGGGGCTCCCCATGCGCCTCACCGCAGCAGGGCTGGCCTTTGGGGGCTGGGGGCTTCCTTGCCTGTGGTCCCTGGTGGGGGCTGGATGCGTCCCTGAGAGCCGGGAGAGCTTTCTCCCCAGCCCGAGGGGCCGGAGGGTCAGGGAGCAGCACCCATCCTTCCCTCTCTCCCCTGCAGCTGGCGGGACGGGCACTGACCCTCCTCTCTGAGTGAGGCAGATGGCACACGTGCCCACACCTGGGTGCCTCGGTTGGATTCCCTCAAAGCAGAGCCTGACACGAGGACTTGGGTGCAGGGAGTTTATTTGGGGAGGAGTGTTAGTGTCCCGGGGCTGCCGTAACAAAGTACCACAGACCTGGGGGCTTAAAGCAACACAGGTCTATGCTCCCCCAGGTCTGGAGGCCAGAGTCCAGGCTCCTGGTGTGGGCAGGGTGGTTCCTTCCAGGGAGAGCCTGTCCCAGGGCCCTACCCCCACGGTAGCTGAGGGGAGAAAATGAGGTCCCCTCCTGAAGGCAGTTTGTCAGCTCCGGCTGCCCTGCCTGGGGAAGGTCATCGGGGGTCAGCGAGGGCCGAGTGCTGCCTCTGATGTGGCTGGTTGTCCTCTGGGAGGGGCAGCCTGGGCTCTGCCCACAGGAGGCTCCTGACTTTGGGCGACAAGGTCCCAGGGGATCTTCTTTCCTCTTGGGGCAGCTGAAGGCGCTTTCCCGAGAGAGAGATGCCCAGTAGCTGGGTTGTGAGGCCATGGGGTCCAGAGCCTCCTGTTGGGCCATATGCTGGTTTGTTGAGGTCACTCCTCCTGTCCTGACACAGCCACTCCTGCCTGGCCTGAGTGAGAGTCTGAGTGTGTCCTGTGTGTGCATGTGCCTGTGTGCCTATGTGTACACATGTGCCTATGTGCATGTGTGTGTGCTTGTGTGTGCACATGTGCCTTGTATGCATGTGTGCAGGCATGCATGTGTGAGTGTGCAACATTAGATCTCAACGGTCATGCAGAGCCTGCGGTGGACTTTGCCTCAGCTCCACAGACAGTCAGTGTCACCTCCCTCCTGCAGCCCTGCTCCTAAGGCGGCAGACTTGTGGAAGGCACAGATGTTTGCTCTCCCAGTTCTTTCCTTAAAACGGAGTCCCAGAAGTGGCACCGTGAGACCAAATGACATAAACATATTCAAGACTCTGGGTGCCTTTTATCACCTTGCTTTCTAAAGTCGGTCCCAGCCACACTTCCTGGAGGGCGGTGTCAGGCCTCCTCCACCCCCTGCCCAGGACGGATCACAGGATGAGGCCTCCACTGCTCCTCGCCCCTCGGCCTGTCACCCCGACCCAGGAGCAGCTTACAAGCAATGCCGGGCATTGGGCCACTCCACCCGGGGCCACCGGCTCAGCCTTTGAACAGAAGGGAAAGGACACTGGGGAGGGTGGGCTCAGCCAGGTGGCGGTACAGGTGGGTCCCCAATAGGTGTGGCTGGGTGAGCCCGTCCCAGGAGCTCAGCTCCCCACCGAGGACAGACCCGCTTGGCCTGGAGCTAGAGACCTGGCCCGGCTCTGCCACTGCATCTCCCTGCGATGCTTCGAGTTAACCTTGATCCTGTCTGTCTTCATGTGGCTAAAATGACGCCACGGCATTGCAGTGGTTACCGAGGTTTTGGGTGCTGCCTCCTCAGACCCTTTGGGTTTTAAATATAATCCCAGGCAGGCAGGGGATGGGAAACTGGGACAGGCTCCACCTCTCCACGCCGTGTCTGTCTGTTCGTCCCCGGTGCTCTGACCCAGCTCCTC